AATACTATTTTCATTTATCTGTATTAATTTAGTATTTTTATTTATTGCTTAACAGTATTAGTATTTTTCTTTATATGTTAAATTTCACCATTTGCTCTTGTCATCTGAGGGCAGATGACCATGTCCGATGGCTGAATGTGGGAACTGTAACTGAGTAAGATTATGTAAAAGCATGGTCTAGATGAGTGTGCTGAGAGGTGAAGGCTGAACGACGGCGAGGACAAATGTTTCCAAGATGTTTTGACAATTATCTTTTTTCCTTTTATTTTCATTCTAATGTAAATAAATAAATCTTAGTTTAGCTCTGAAGTATTAAGTATGATTTTTGTATTATCATAGTGCCCATCTGGATTTAAAAAAAAAAAAAACTTGCAAAGATGGGAAGAGTGGCAACCATTTTATATTTTAGGCAATGGGCAAAGCAAACAAAAAAATGAAATACGAGGGCCATCCAGGAAGTAGATTACGTTTCCGTCTGTGTCCGCTAGGGGCGGGGCCAGCGCGGCCATCTTGGGGTCAGAGCGTTGCGCAGCTCAGTCTGCATCTAGCCGTGCTAGTGAGAGGTTCGTGCTGTGCTCCGTTCAGATACTGTGACGGTTTGAAATGTCTGCGTTAATTGAAAATCCCGCGAGCTGCGAGGTGCGCTCAGTAATAAGGTTTCTGACTGCAAAAAAACTGTAAACCGATAGAAATCTATCGGCAGCTTCGTGAAGTGTATGGGGACAACATTATCACTGAAGGTGGAGTGCGTCAGTGGGTCATAAGATTTCAAAATGGCCGAACCAATGTTCACGACGAAGATCGAAGTGGGAGACCCAGCATAGTGACCGCCGCCGAACTTCTCGAAAAAGTCGATGCTAAAGTCCGTGAAAATCGAAATTTCACAATAACGGAACTTTCTTTGAGTTTTCCACAAATTTCGCGAAGTTTGTTGCACGAAATCATCAGCGAAAAGCTTGGTTACCACAAGTTTTGTGCAAGATGGATTCCAAAAATCTTGACAGAGGACCACAAAAATCAGCGAATGGCTGCAGCGTTGAACTTTTTGGACGCTTACCATAAGGATGGTGACTCTTTACTCGATCGCATCGTTACTGGTGACGAAACATGGGTGAAACATGTGAACTGTGAAACGAAATTGCAATCAATGCAGTGGGGGGGGCACACAAGTTCTCCCCAAAAACCCAAGAAATGCATGCAAACAATGTCGGCAAGGAAGATGATGGCGACTGTTTTTTGGGACAGAAAAGGTGTAATTTTGGTGGACTTCCTGGAAAGAGGCACTACAATAAACTCTCAAAGGTATTGCCAAACTCTCCAAAAACTCAGAAGAGCAATTCAAAACAAGCGCAGAGGAATGTTGAGCTCTAAGATCTTGTTGATTCACGACAACGCCCGGCCCCACACGGCAAATGTCACTCGTAAAGTTCTTGAATCTTTTAAGTGGGAGTTGTTTCCTCATCCGCCGTACAGTCCCGACCTGGCACCGAGCGACTTCCACCTATTCCCAGCAATGAAGAAGTGGCTGGCTATGCAGCGTTTTGATGACGACGCACAGCTGCAAGAAGAGGTAACGAAGTGGTTGAAGGCGCAGGCGGCCGAATTTTTCGACGAAGGAATTTCCAAGCTCGTACATCGCTACGATAAATGCCTTAATTTGTATGGTGACTATGTAGAAAAGTAGTATTTGAGTGTGGCTTTCATCTGTATATAATAAAATTTGTTTCCTATACTTTGTTTATTTTTTTATTCCAAAACGTAATCTACTTTCTGGATAGCCCTCGTATAATGCCCTGTTAAAGAAAAATAGTCATGATGTGTGAAAAATAAGATATTAGCATTTTGAAAGCATTGGGAATCAGTATCAGCTAAAGGAAATACATTTTTGTAAATGTAAAATGCTGAAAAGCTTCAAGGAAATCCAGTCATCAAACAAAGAAGATTTGAAGATAATTTTTGTAGCAGCAGAGTTGAAAATCTAAAGCCCTTTTTTAAGCCTAATTTTAAATATTACACTGGCATTTTTCCTTCCCTAAATATAATAGTTCTACTTCATTCACAGAATCTTGCAAATAGCTTTCTTATATGGAGATCATACTAAGTTATAAACTTTTAGGCAATGATATACTAAGTACAATATTAAATATTGTAAATATAATTGATATTCATGAATCAGATTTCAATAAAGAAATTCATAAATATATATATGCATCTATTTTGATGAAGAATAAATGAGATTTTATAACAGAAACATTTCCTGCTCTTTTTCCAATCCAAAGCAGATATGTGTAGGCCTATCGATGCAAAAATCTGCTTTCACACTAGTTACACAATAGTAACAAAGAGAAAAAGTCTTCATTTAGTTTTCAAAAATAGCTCTCCAGATTTATTCATTTATTTTTTTAAACAAATTCATTTTAGCCCAAATGGCTGTTTGAGATACGAGGGCCATCCAGGAAGTAGATTACGTTTCCGTCTGTGTCCGCTAGGGGCGGGGCTAGCGCGGCCATCTTGGGGTCAGAGCGTTGCGCAGCTCAGTCTGCATCTAGCCGTGCTAGTGAGAGGTTCGTGCTGTGCTCCGTTCAGATACTGTGACGGTTTGAAATGTCTGCGTTAATTGAAAATCCCGCGAGCTGCGAGGTGCGCTCAGTAATAAGGTTTCTGACTGCAAAAAACTGTAAAATCGATAGAAATCTATCGGCAGCTTCGTGAAGTGTATGGGGACAACACTATCACTGGAAGGTGGAAGTGGTCGTCAGTGGGTCATAAGATTTCAAAATGGCCGAACCAATGTTCACGACGAAGATCGAAGTGGGAGACCCAGCATAGTGACCGTCGAACTTCTCGAAAAAGTCGATGCTAAAGTCCGTGAAAATCGAAATTTCACAATAACGGAACTTTCTTTGAGTTTTCCACAAATTTCGCGAAGTTTGTTGCACGAAATCATCAGCAAAAAGCTTGGTTACCACAAGTTTTGTGCAAGATGGAAGGCAAGAAGAGGGTAACGAAGTGGTTTTGAAGGCGCAGGCGGCCGAATTTCCGACGAAGGAATTCCAAGCTCGTACATCGCTACGATAAATGCCTTAATTGGATGGTGACTATGTAGAAAAGTAGTATTTGAGTGTGGCTTTCATCTGTATATAATAAAATTTGTTTCCTATACTTTGTTTATTTTTTTATTCCAAAACGTAATCTACTTTCTGGATAGCCCTCGTACACTCATCTCACAAGGCAGAATATAAGAATGTTAACTGCATTTTGTAATTTTAATCATTATACTGAAAATAATAAGTGTATATTATATTTCCACTCAGCACTTTCATTTTAAACTAAAATAATTTGTCATAATCCCCCTAGGAGCGTGGGAGCAATGAGTTCAGTTTCATTTGCTTGAATTTTTTTACTGTAATAAAATGTTTCACATCTTTCCTTCTTGTGCATTGGTTTTGAACTAAGGTCTAGTAATATTACAGAAAATATTAATCATCCCATCTAGAAATATCTATAAAATAAGCTTTTGTAACAAAATTCTTAAAAAATGAGTTCATACAACTAGAACAATTTCTTCACAGAATTTTTTTTTTTAAAGTTGCTATATATGTAAGATAAAAAATGTGTGAATCAAACTAACAGTAAGCTCTCTAATTCTTCCTCTCTGTTTTAAAAATCGTAGTAACGTCTATGGATTGCATTATTTTTAGATCATTCCATTTTGCATGGCTGCACAGCGCTGATGACATGATAATTGGAAACTGAAACGTTTTAGTTCAAACCAAAACTTTTCTCTTCGAGTGCTTCCATCTTGCATAACTATGCACTTCAGCTTAGCTCTCTGCCCTGGTAGGATGTAATTTCACTGTCTTGCTTGCTATCACTATAATATAAAAAAATGTAAATGTTCTTGAATAAGCATGACTAGAGTGCCAAGTAAATTGCGGCCACATATGTCAACTGGAAATAAAACTTCGACTGCCAAGATTCTTAGATATTATGATCTCAAAACATTAGCTTACTACACAATCCGAATTCTTCCTTTTCAATATGGATCAACAATCAGTCTTATTTGGGTATTACACATCAACAGTGTTCTGTCTTTTCCTTGTGCGTATATTACATTTATATTTGAGCACATTTATTTATTTTACAATATGCAGAAAGCTTTGAAAAATGTTACAGTACTTAGATTCATTATATACAGAACTGAAAAATATTGTTACGAATTTGGTATTTAAAAAGCTAATGATAGTTCAATTATAAATTAAATGGTTTTATTTCTCGCGCAGTGAAGCGCGTGACGAATATTAAAAGAAAGCTAAGCCAGAAAATTGAAAATACAAGAGCACGTGCATTAAATAAATAAATATCTCTTTTTGATTTCGAGAAAGTACTGGAAAATTCTAGCGCGTGATTTTAAAATCTTATAAAAGGAGGAAAACATCTCAGTTTGTAGTAGTTGCTTAGTTTATTGTTGTTTAGAAAACTGCTCTTGTTGATTGTAGCGAATTCGCGGATTAGCGTTCTTTAGCTGTTTTGAATTTCGTTCTATTGGACATTTGAGTAGTTAAAAGATTACTACTGTGAGATATTGTAATACTACATGATAATTTGAGAAAATTTAAGCATTTTTGTTGTGATAATAATAAATTTTTGTTCATTTTTCATCGGACTTGTGCATTCATTTCATAATGAACCCGTATGCACGTAACAATATCATGGGGGTAAAATTACCACAACATAACAGGCAAATAAGAAAACGATCCTGAAATAATTTTCATTTATGCCATCTGACAAATAGTCTTGAAACATACATTATTAATTAGAACAGCCGGATAATATCACTTGGATATTTGCAAATCTTTGCAGCTGGGCTAGTTATTAACTAACAGCATGTGCTTAATGAAATATAGTGGGAAACTCCTTAATAAATATAGGACAGAAACCCATTTTAACTTAAATCTCAAACTCAGATTTTTTTAAAACAAAATATTTGAAAAGGATACTGACTTCTGTAGTAGTTAACTGATCACGTAAAAAATCCAAGTCATCATCTAATTGAGTTAAATTTTTGGATGCAGTCTGAAGATTTTTTGATAAAAGAGCCTCAGCATCTTGCAGAGTATATTCTAGCATGACATTAGCCTAGAAAAACAAGAAAAATACATAAAATATTAATTCTTTTTAATGCTTTACACATCTAATTAGAAGAGAAGCATACCAATGAAGAATTCCAAATTATGTATATATATATATGTAGTGCCGATCGCTTGGAGCTGTGATGAAAACCAGATGCCGTGACGTCATTCTCTACGAGCTCCGAAGGCGCCAAGCAAAAATTAGGGAAATTACCGTTTTGAGATGATAGACGATTGACGTGAAAGCAGAGACGCTGCTTCTGTTCGAAAAGAACTTTGATGAATCATTACTTGTTTAATTCTCTTAAATGTTAAATTTATGTAATAATCGTTTGTCTAATTAAAATGTCTTTCGTTAATTAATTTGTTCATCGTTTAAAATCCCACGAAAATTTTCTCAGAAGTGGGATAGCACTTCAGCACTCGAATGAACTGTAGTTTTTTACCTGCTTTCCTGGATTTACTACCGGTTTTGAAGAATAACTGTTGCTGTGCTGGACTGTTTTGCGATGTATAATCAACTATGTTTCGAACAAAAACCTCATCAAACTCCTAGGAATGTATGCTGATTTACCTGAACTGAAACTGCGTAAGTGAGTAAATAGTGTGCGGCTCTATTAAAGACTGGAATTAATTTTAATAAATACTGGATGTCAAGTGTCAAGACGTGAATTGTGGCCAAAAATCCATCGGACATAACCTGTTTCTACTCGCCTTTTGTCGACACCATTTGTGATCCATTGGATGGTATGGGAAGTAATTTCTTTCGTTTCTGTTTCCGGATTATAGAGCCAGGAACATCGTGGATTACCATTATATGAAGTGAGTGATTTTCTCAATTTTATTAACTATGTTTTCTAATTGATGTGCCGGGAATGGAAGATGTCCTGAAAAGTGAAAAAGCGCATAATATAAAATTATTACACAAAATAATATTAACGATGTGGGCGACAGAAATAATCGAAAAAGGTTAAGACAATTTAGTGGTTTCTCTTTAGAAGAGAATAGTAAAGAACTTAATGAAAAACTCGAAAAAAAAATCAAACAAGATTTTCAGGCTTATGAATTAATTTCCATTGCCAATGTTTTATTGCATTGATAGCTCTGGCACACAAGATGACTTAGCAACCCGAATTGTTTCTTATCTGAATAATTTAGAATTGCTTAAAAATAATGTAATTTTAGAAGAAAGTGAAAACGAAAGTGATTTAGAGGGTGTGGATGGTGGGGATAAAAATGAAGTAGATGATAATGTTCGAGATGAAACGAAACTAAAGAAACAATTCTGGTGCCACAGTGAGACAACTTCCTTCCCAATGTGCTAATGATAATATTCTTAGTACAATTGAAAACAAGTCGAATGTATTTCATAACTGTAGTATAAATGTTACTATTGAAGACATCAAATCTTTTGTTGCTCAATTTGATGGCCAAGCCATGAAAATGTCAGTAGTTGGGTCGAAAGTTTTGAAGATGCAGCTACCATTCTTCAGTTAAATGATTTACAAAAACTGATTTTTTGCTAAACGCCTGATGACAGGCAAAGCAAAACTATTTGTTCTTAATGAACCAAAGTTGAACTCATGGCAAGTTTTTAAGAATGCCATTCTTGATGAATTCCGGTCCAGCTGCAATTCGGCTGAACTGCAATGAGTTATTATCAAAACAAAAAATGAAGAGCAATGAAACGTTTGATGAGTTTTTTTTTTTTAAATATGAAGAGAACTGTTAAAAATGGTCAAATTGAAGAATGTTGCTTTAATACGATATGTCATAGATGGTACACCAGGCTCCGCGTTTAAAAATATCTTGCCTTGTATGGGTCACAAACATTAACTGATTTTAAGAACAAATTGAAGCTTTATCAACAGATATGTGATGATGAGGAAAAAAAGTCGCGAACGTCAAAAGACAAAATTTGAAAAGTAAACAAAAAAATTGAATCTAGACATAAATATGACTCAAACAAATTCTGTTAACCAAACAAAGTGTAACGTAACCGATAGTCGAGGAAACAATTCCTGAAATTAAACGTAATACAACCTGTTTCAACTGCGGTGAAAAAGCGGTCATATTTCCAAACAATGTGTTCATAAAGATAAGGGAGTCAAGTGTTTTTAAATGTAAAGAATTTGGGCACCGAAGTTTCGAATGCTCAAATACGAATTCGAAACCAGAAGTATCAACCGTGAATATTGATGTAGTCTCGAAGTTGACCAAAGAAGTAAAAATTAATGATGTATATGCAACCGCGTTAATAATAGACACAGGAAGTCAAACTACTTTGTTATGTAGATCGATTTTTGATAAACTGAATATCGAAGGCCCTCGTGCCCCGTAAGTTCAACGCTGAGTGGGTTCGGTAAATGTCAAGTAAAACTTCTAGGTTTCTTTAAAGGTAATATTAAAATTAATGATTTCCAGTGTACTGCAGATATTTGTGTTGTAGACAACAATGTAATGACACATGAAGCCATTTTAGGCTTAAACGTAATATTAAAAGGTGAAATATTAATAAATGAAAATGGAGTTACCATAAAAAGTAAGTCACAGAGTGTAGAGAAAGTAAATATTGTATCTGTTTTACCTGTTGACCTAGCTAGTATCGAAGACGAAATAAACATTGCACCTAGCGTTCCAAACTACTTTAAAGAGACTGTTCAAAAGTTAGTTTCGAACTATATGCCATGTAAGACCAAATCTACGGACATACAGTTTAAAAAATTTTCGTTAAAAATAAACGAAACCAGTATCGCAATCAACCGCGTAGATTACCGTTTGCGGAAAAGAAAATTGTTGAAACCCAAATATCCGAATGGCTAAAGTCAGGAATTTATAGAACAGAGTTCTTCGGAATATTCCAGCCCATTGGTCATCGTTAAAAAGAAAGACGGGACACCAAGAGTTTGCGTTGATATATCGTCGTTTAAACAAAGTTGTCGTAAAGGATAGATTTCCCCTTCCCTGATTGAGGATATCCTAGACCGCCTTCAAGAAGCACGTATTTTCAGCACTATTGATCTCAAAAATGGCTCTTTTCACGTGGACGTCGAAAAGGAAAGTCGGAGTACACATCATTTGTTACGCATGAAGGACAGTACCAGTTTTTTGAAAGTGCCGTTTGGACTCTGTAACTCACCAGCTGTATTCCAGAGATTCATAAATACCATTTTCCGACCGTTAGTTAACGATGGCATCGTTTTGCCGTACATGGACGATATCATCATTTTGTCCGCCTCATACGAAGAGGGAATCGAGAGGCTGGAGTCAAGTTTTAAATCTAGCGAGTGAATACGGATTGGAAATAAATTTTAAAAATCCCAATTCTTTAAAGAAACGAATTGACTTTTTAGGTCATGTCATAGAAGAGGGTCAAAATTTTCCCATCCACCTTGAAAGAAGCAAGCTGTTATAAATTTCCCTGAACCATCTAATTTAAAACAGATCCAAAGTTTTCTTGGGTTGGCAGGGTATTTCAGAAAATTTATTCCTAAATACTCTATAACTGACCAAGCCACTTAGCGACCTGCTAAAAAAGGGTAATAAGTTCGAATTCGGTGAAGAATGAAGAACAAAGAGGTCGCATTCAATCGTTTGAAATCAGCTAGCTCTCAGCGATAGCTGAAAAGCCTGTACTAGCAATTTATAACCCTCATTATGAAACCGAACTACACAGAGACGCCAGTATAGAAGAATATGGGGCCGATTCTAATGCAGAAACTCCCCAGGTGATAGCAGTTTTCACCCCACTTATTTTATGAGTAGGAAAACCTCTGATGCAGAGAAAAAGTACTAAAGTTACGAGTTGGAGGTTTTTCGCGATCATGGAAGCACTGAAAAAGTTCCGTGTTTACTTTTTGGGAATTTCGTTTAAGACAGTGACGGACTGTTCAGCATTTCAACGGACGATGGAAAAAAGAGATTTAGCGACGCGTGTTGCTCGTTGGGCTCTGTTGTTTACAAGAATTCGATTATGTTTATAGAGCATCGTAAAGGTGTTAGAACGCCACATGTAGATGCTCTAAGTAGAGCTCCTGTAAACGTCTTATGTATTTCTGTTGAAAATATCTTACCTAAATTAAAACTTGCTCAAGAAAATGACACTGAAATAAAAACCATTAAGGAAATTATTGAAAACCTCAAGTTATGAAAATTATTGTAATAGAAACGGCGTACTATACAAGTTTATTGACGGTAAAGAATTGATAGTCGTACCGGAAAGAATGCAGACTGAAATCATAAAAGATGCTCACGAGAAAGGGCACACCAGTATCAAACATACAGAGAAACACCTGGATGAATACTATTTCATTCCCAAACTTCGGCAGAAGATAGAAAACGTTATCGCGAATTGCGTTCATTGCATCTTAATAAATCGCAAAGCAGGCAAAAAGGAAGGATTTTTACATCCGCGATTCAAAGAGGACATTCCGTTGCATACCTATCATATCGATCACTTGGGTCCTCTGGAAAGTACCCATAAAAACTACAAGCACCTATTAGTAGTGGTCGACGCCTTTACTAAATTTACTTGGATTTATCCAACAAAATCTACGACCTCAGCCGAGGTGATAGCGAAGTTAGAGAATCAGAAGGCCATTTTTGGAAGCCCTTGTCAGATCATTTCTGATAGAGGAACGGCTTTCACATCCAGTGAGTTTTCTGACTACTGTGCTAAAGAAGATATTAAACATCATCTAATCACCACAGGCCTGCCGAGAGCAAATGGACAAGTCGAACGAATCACCAAGTCATTATATCAGTATTACCGAAACTGTCCTTAAAAAAACCAACCGAATGGTATAAACACACACACGAAGTTCAGAGGACACTTAACTAAACATATCAAAGAAGCATTAACACCACTCCGTTCGAATTACTCTTCGGTACTAAAATGAACAGTAAGGGCACCGATCAGCTTAAAGAGCTGATAGAAAGTGAGTTTCAATCTCAATTCGAGTCTCAAAGAGAAGAATTACGAAAGCAAGCCAAGAGGCAAATTTTTTA